CCAACGTTGATCACCAAGTGGTGCTTCATTTGTAACTGTTGTACAAACTGATTGTGCAGTAATATCGAAACAACCCAGATTGCCGCTACCTTGCTGTGCACAATTGCCTGGTTGTTGACCACTGACATAGCATAACAGGACGACCATTGTTGCAGCTACCATTTGTAAACTGTTTGTTGTGCTTGCCATGTTAAATCGAATCTTGTTGCCTTGCTATAGATGATCGGATAGCAACTTGCTTACTGTGTTTTTCGGATTGAGTTTGTTTGAGTGAACGTTTGTTGTGAAGAGCATAAGCCAATTCTTGTCTACTGTAACTATTTTCCTTTTAAGACGAAAAAACTCAATCTTATTCACATTCCATATGAGAAAATCGTTGGTGTAACATCAGATGATTTAAGTAAAACAATTGTGAATCCATTATCAAATGAATTAAAATATCGAAATGATCGAATAGAAATATTACAGAAAGAAAATGATCAATTAAGACAAATTCAAAATGATTTAACAAAAAAAGTAATTTTATAAGATGCAGTTGACTATAGGAAAAATGATCGATGATATTTGTTACGATGGTTTATTTTCAGATGTCTGGAAATACAAAACATGGTACAATTTCATCATTTTTAAGCGAAGATGGTGTTTCAGATAAAGTACGTGATAATATTGTGTCATGACATAAGATATTTTAATGTTAACTGACCATTTAGAATGTTATATTAGCTCAAAAAGTGGATGATTTACGTCAAAAATTGGCAGATGAATGTCAGAAAAGTGAAATATGTAAAATGGAGGTAATATTTGATATCCTTTGTAAATTTGTATGAATTTATTTTGTTAATTTTTTTGTAGTTACGTTTAAAAACGAACGAGTTAAAAGAATGTAATCAAGATTTTCTTATCAGATAACAAAAATATGATGAACATATTAATGATTTATCGTCAAAATTGAAATTAATTACAGATAGATATCAAGAGATGACATCAACATTAAATCAAGATTCTAAATTAAAAAAACAGAATATAGAACAACT